TTTCTAGAGTTTAATACACGTTCCTAATAATTTCCCCGGAGTATTATTGTGCATTTTAAGAGTTTTACCACTATTTGACGGTTTTCTTAGCAGTATATACAAGAATCTTCAGGATTTAACTGTTATATTCAAAGCAATCAACCAAATCAGCCTCAATTGTAAATATAAACAGTATTCTCATCATTGAAACCCATTATATACAAATTCTGAACTCTATAAACAGGAATTCAAAATGTTTGAAAGCATTTTCTTCTGAAAACGCCAAATTCCTTGCTGGAATTGTAAACATTAGTATTATCGTCATTTCACAGCTTTCTACCTGTAATCTTCACTATTGAACAGGGCCATAGAGATGTTACGTCTCTATTTTCTTGAATTTCTAGTGTTTTTCACACGTTCCTAATCATTTTTTGGGAGTATCTTTGCGGATTTACCTCAATTAGACAGTTTTCTTTGCAGTATATACACGAATCTTCAGGACTTACACAGTTTAATTCAAAAAACGCCAAGGAATACATCCATAATTGTAAATATAAACAATATTCTCATCATTTAAAGGCTTTATTCACAAATTCTGGTCTCTATAAACAGAAATTCTTAATAATTCACAGTACATTCTTCAAGAAAACGCCAAATTTCATTTCCTGAATTGTAAACATTATCAGTATTTTCGTCATTTCACAGCATTCTACCTGTAATCTTGGTTAATGAACACTGCCATGGAGATATTACGTCTCTATTTACTTGAATTTGAAGTGTTTCTTACACATTCATAATCATTTTTCGGGAGTATCATTCTGTATTATAAGTGTTTTACCACAATTAGACAGTTTTCTTAGCAGTATATACATGAATCTTCAGGACATAAACTGTTTTATTGAAAAAACGCCAAGGAATACAGCCTCAATTGTAAATATAAACAGTATTCTTATCATTTAAAGGCTTCATACTCAAATTCTGAACTCTATAAACAAGATTTCTTAATGTTTAAAAGCATTTTCTTCTGAAAACACCAAATTCCCTTGCCGGAATTCTAAACATTATCAGTATTTTCTTCATTTCACAGCTTTCTACCTGTAATCTTGGTTATTGACCACGGCCATAGAGATGTTATATCTCTATCTACTTGAATTGTTAGTGTTTCTTACACATTCCTAATCATTTTTCAGGAGTATCATTCTGTATTATAAGTGTTTTACCACAATTAGACAGTTTTCTTAGCAGGAAATACATGAATCTTCAGGACTTATACTGTTTAGTTCAGAAAACGCCAAAAATTAAGTCTGAATTGAAAATATAAACAGTATTCTTGTCATGTAAAGGCTTTATACACAAATTCTGAGCTCTATAAAAAGAAATTTTTAATGTTTCAAAGTACATTCTTCAAGAACACACAAATTCTGAAACGCCAATTTTCGTTTCCTTGAATTGTAAACATTATCAGTATTCTCGTGATTTCACAGCTTTCTAATTGTAATCTTGGTTGCTGAACCCAGCCATAGAGATGTGACGTCTATATTTACTTGAATTTCTAGTGTTTCTTGTATGTTCCTAATCATTTCCTGGGAGTATCATTGTGTATTTTAAGTGTTTTACCACATTTTTAAAATTTTCTTAGCAGTATATACATAAATATTCAAGACTTATACTGTTTAATTCAAAGAACACCAAAAATTAAGTCTCAATTGTAAATATAAACAGTATTCTCGTCATGTAAAGGCTTTATACACAAATTCTGAGCTCTATAAAAAGAAATTTTAATGTTTCAAAGTACATTC